CGGGGGACAGCTCCTGCCAACCCCCCCCCCCCAATAGCTTACAATCCAAAACAGTCCGGTGGAGCCTGAGCAATGGGTGTTGCCTTCTGACACACTTCTGGTGATGTCAGGGGGTGTGGCATATGCAAATAAGTTATGCTAATGAGTTATGCTAATGAGCTCCTGCACCTCTTTTTCTACGAAATGACCCCTGCTGTGTCATGTTTCTGTTTAAAGCAAGTATCCTCTTACCAGTACTGCCTTCTTTCTACTGAGAGGTAAGCTTTTGGTGGGTAAAGGTATTTGGTAGGGAAACCTATTTGAAATAGGAATAAAGCTACTTGAATTGAGGGGTTCACTGCCTGACCCTGCAGGAATTCATTTCAAAATCTGCAGCATCACTTTGTACCGGTGGCAACTCTTCCTAGATGACATAGGGATTGCCTACAAAAACATAAATTCCAGACGAGATTATTGTAATGTTCTTTGTGCGCGCAGTTGACTTCAGGGGCATTTTAAGAGTGTTTGGAAATGGCAGTTAATCCAGAATACAGTGACCTGTATAGTAAATGCAACTGGTATTGCAGAATATATTCCCCCTGTTCTCAAAGAACAGTTCAGAGCAATGTTCCCTCTAAGCTGTGGAGTCTCGTGAGCAAAAATTCTGCTTTGTGAGCTACTGGCATTAAAGTTGTGAGCAAGCCATTTGGCTCCTGCATTAATTAGTTTGCTCTGGAGCCATCCTTCCTGAGCTGAGACAAAAATGTGTGAGCTGGAGGATAAAAAACTGTGAGCTAGCTCACTCTAACTCAGCTTAGAGGGAACACTGGTTCCGAGGTAGTATCGGGAGGGTTGCCATGTTGGTCTACACTGCAAAAGCTAGATTTGCATCCAGTACAATCTGAGAGACCAACAAGATTTTGGGGTATACGCTTGTGAGGGTCAAACCTCTCTTGGTCTCCGATGAAGGGAACGTTGACTCTCAAAAGTTTATACCCCCAAAATCTTGTTGCTCTCTAAGGTGCTGGACTCAGATCTAGCAGTTCCTGCATGTAATCCAAAATGCTGATTTAACTTAAAGCCCTACACAGCTGGGGCCATACTTTCTCTACTGTTGTCCTATGTGATTTCCCAAGGAGTAAGGAACAGGGCCTTCCCGGTGGCTGGTCCTCTCACGTTAGAATATGCAACTCAGGAAGGAACACATGGCCTGCTTTTCCGAGAGCTTTGGGAAAATGAGCAGGAGGTGCCTTTCCAAGTAAGCTTTTCTCGAGTAACAGGTTTGACCTGCTAATTTTAAAAAGTTTTCAAAAATTGACTTTGGTGCAATTTTATGTGTTTTACTGTAAGGATAAGGCAGTTTAAGGGTCCCATGAACCAGAATATAAAATGTGAGAACAGATCTGTGTTTCTTCTCTTGAAAAGAGAGAGCTCTTTATAATCTCCTGTACTCTTCTGTTATCAGTCCTTTAAAAAATAATACATGAAACAGTTCTGAATCATGCTGGACATGGTGCTGAGCTGCCTGTTTTATTTATTTATCTTGAGACACTGGAGTGTGGGACTTCTTTTCAAATTCTGCTGTTTTGACTTAGCTCACCTAGTGCATTTGCTGACGGAGGAGTTTAGTTTGGACTGGGCTTGCCATTTGCCCGGAGACCCTGGATAATCCCCTGACCCTGCCTTCAGTCCCCTATCCGCAATAATTTGAGGAGGAGGAAAATGAGTAATAGCATTAAGAACATAAGAGAAGCCAATGGTGGATCAGGCCAATAGCCCATCTAGTCCAACACTCTGTCATGCAGTGGCCAAAAGTACCAGGTGCCATCAGGAGGTCCAGCAGTGGGGCCAGGACACTAGAAGCATTGATAGTCTTTACCAGAGAGATTGGGGAAATTCCTAGAGTATCACCAGATTACATTACATCCTCTGTGATGCTCTAGAAATTTCTCCATGGACTATTTGACATCACAATCCCTGAAATTGAAGCTTTTCTGGGTACTCCCCCTCCCAGTCTTCTGGCATTTACTGGTGATGGGCTGGCAAGTCTACCTTAGACTCAACCGCTTTTGGTACAATCACAACATTTAGTAGCAATGAAACCACCATTACTGCAATATTGAATATAAAAGGTTGAACATACCAGGAGGAAACTGTATATGCAGCTGTACTGTTGTCATTGTCAAGAATATTTTGATCTGGTCCTTTCCAGGTTATGGTTGGCTTTGGCCGTCCACACACCTTACACTGTAATATTACTGTGTCACCCAGCAAGCAGGTGATGTCCACTAAGGGCACAAGAAACTCTGGAGCAACTGAAGCAAAGGTCACACACAGAAACATGTTAAGTTCACCAAAAATGTCAAACTGATCTTGCAGCGCCTAAGCCTAAGAAACACTTTCCTACAGTCTGATCTTGCAGAGGGAAAATGGGAAAATATACACCACTTTTTTCAAATTTGTGAAACAAGTAGGAAAAGAAAACCCAGTCCTTTGGTCATTACATCATCTGGACTGCTGTTGATGGTGGAAAGAATAATTGAGATGCTGTAATAAACATGAATGCCCTGGATCAACCGCATGCATTTTTACTATCTGTACCCCATGCCAGTACTACTTGATGCTGTTCCCTGAGCAAGACTGTGATCCAAGTTACAAGTACAATTGTCAAATATTCTGGGCATTTAAAATAAGATCTTAGGAGCATACCTAGCCAACACTTTAAAGCTAAAACTATCATGGTTACTGATAGCTCTATATGATTGCTGCATGTGCAATATTTTTATCAGTTTTTCCAGCAGTACCTGCCAATGGTAAATGACCATTTAGTTGCTCTTTTGAGTTTGGACAATGCAGTTATATGTCTTGCTAAAAACAGCTGCCTAGAGTTTCCTTCAACTGTACCTTTCTTTAAATACCCATACCTGCTGCTACAGTGTGGGACCACTATTCGTACTATGAAAATAGCTTGTGCAAGTGGTGATAGTATAGGTTATAGACCAAGAAGATAAACACTAGTTCTCAAAAAGTTACTATAGGAGTAGGCTCAGTTATATTTATTCCAGCAAAAAAAAATTGCATACAAGTAGACACTGGTTCAGCCCCTTATTTATTTAAAACATTCATTGGCCACCTTTCCTTCTTATGGAGTTCAAGGCCACTTACAAAATGTGCAGTCAGCTGACTTCAACAAAAGACTGTGATGAGTTTGAATCTTGCACCCTTGCCCAAACCGATTTGTGAAATGAAAATGAGTTTCTTTGAAAGTTGTGAATGTGAATTTCAGCAAGGCTCGGAATTGATTTTATTCGTATTTTGTAATGGTGATATTTAAAATGAATTCTGAATTATTTTAAGCTATTTAATGGGACAGTTTCAAAACCACTTGACTAGAGCAAGTGGGTTCAAATTGTGGACTTTGAGGAAAACATTTCCATGTCAAGTTACCTTCCAAGGAACCCCTGTATGTCTGCAATGGAACCCTTGTGTACTGTGTAGGATTCTGGGACATGCTCTCAGGGGCCTACAGGGTTTACTAAATGAGTACCCTAGAATTGGTTCCTTACCCTGTCTAAGTTTAATCTAAAAAACACTCAACACTGATGCTATATGTTGCAAGGGAATAGTGGAATAGTGGTAGGGGCAGGCAAGTTGTCTTTCAGGGACGTTTGTCCTCCTTTATTGATCTTCCCATTGCAGACCCCGTAATGAGCTTTCAAGAAACTCCAAGTCTATTAGGAAACAAAATAAACCCCAAAAAATTTTTTTAAAGAAGCTTTCACTTTGGTGTATGTGTGTGTATGTGCTTGCAAGCCTGGAAGTCATGGTGACTTCTGGCGTCCCCCTAGTGGGGCTAGGATGTTTCAGAGAGGTGGCCTTGATATTACCTGCCTCTGCATCCCTGCCCTGGTATTCCTTGGAGGTCGCCCTTCCAAGAAATTGCCAGGTTTGGCCCCGATTAGCTTCCACGATCTGACGAGATCGGGCTTGCCTGGGCTATCCAGGTCAGGGCTGATTAGCTGAAAGATGGCCTTTCCCTTTCTTTAAGAGGTTCAAAATTTATATATACAAGTCACGCAATCTTCCTTTCAACTGTGTTTTTGCTATAGTACCGCAGGAACTTCCACCGTGACTCAAGGTCTTCTGAAAAAGTCACACAACAAAAGATCTCAGTCAATAATGAGGAAGCTTTCTGAGGAAGAATCTGTGTTTTGGAATGGGTGTTTGCCAGCTATCCATAGTATATTTCACCTTAAAATCATGACCCCGTGTAATATCGGCATTGCGTCTTGTTGTAAAATACAATTTGTGCTATGTTGTTGCTCTCTCATTCCCCCTAGTACATTTTTGTACGCTTGTATCTTTTCACTCACCTTCCTGGATGAAGTTTGGGTTTATGATCTGGAACAACAACAACAACAACAAATAGAGAAACAGAAAATACTTGTTTAACTTGTCCATGAATACAGACATTTGTTTCAGCACAATAAGGAATGCCAACAAAACAGGCTTGACAAATGGTGGGTGAGAAACCGAAAGGTTCTTAGTTAGGTTATGGTCAATATGCAGATACACAACAGGTTCAGCCCATTGATTCCAGTGGGCTTACCCAGGAGTAACTCTGCATGGGACTGTGCTGTGTCGTTCAAGCAACTCCAAAGCACCTCAGTCAAAATTGGTAGGATTAGTAGGAATAAACAATAAACTATTCTTCCTGTATCCCCCCCATGCAGTTGGTAGGCCGTTGCTGGACTTTGTAAAAAAACTGCAGCCTGGTTCTCAAGGCCTAGCTTCAGCTCCTCCTCCTTCCTCCACTGATAGGGTTGCCAAGTGGAACTTACCTTGGTGGAAAGGGACTCCTGGGTGGATCCCGGAGCGTGCACGCGCGCCACACACACGTCACCAGGAAGTGACATTATGACGCTGGGGGCGGGGCCACAACCATAGAGTTTCCCCTTGTATGGCCGTGGCCCTGCCCCCAGCGTGCCCGGCGTGCTCGCGTCACTTCTGGGTGACGCGCACATTGGGGAGGAGTTCCCCCCGGGGCCCAATCTGGCGCCGCCGGGGAACGGGCCTCTGGGGTGGGGGTTTCCCCGCCCCCGGGGGGACTTGGGATCCCTATCCACTGATCAGCAGGGTGATGGTCCTTCAGCCATCAATATGACTGTCAAGGAATTGCACAGTCCACCTATTAGCTAGCTTTCTGAGGTTAGCATTGGACTTTCACGGACAAACATAAGAAATGCGCAAGAATCATACAGATCAGCATTCTCTTTTCAAGAGCAGCCACGAAGCTCAGTAGCAGGGCATGAAGGCAAGGCCCACCCTCTGTTGCACATCACCAGGAGCACTGTCTCTGAACGTGGAGGTTCCATTGTTGGATAATCATCTATAGACTAATAGCCAAGTCAGGTGAATGTGAGGATACTTAGATCTGCTGATTGGAGCTGTGAACGTGCAAGACCGATCTTTCTACAAACCCAAAAAATGTTCTAGGTTGGCAGAAAAATGTGAAAATTAAAACAAAACATCGGGGCATTAAAATCCCCCAAATGATAAAAAGAGCACCTGGAGCTTTAACAAACAGATTTCCCCAGTGGCTGTTGCTAGGCAACCACAGTATTCGAGGCTGGATTTCAGGGAGTAAAAGGCAAGGGGAAGAGGCCGGGCCCTTTCTAGGCCTATTTTGGCCTTTGACTCCTTGGGGCCAGGCCTGAGTCTAGTGTTACCAGTTCCAGGTTGAGAAATTCCTGGAGATTTTGTAATGGACTCTGAGGAGGGCAGGGTTTGGGGAGGCAAGAGGCACAGCAGAATATAATGCCATAGAGTCCACACTCCAAAGCAGTTGTTTTCTCCAGGAGGACAGTTCTCTGTTGTCTGGAGTTCTGTTGTAAGTTTGGGAGATATTCAGGTCCTACTTGAAGTTGGCAACCCTAGGCCTGGAAACAACCCCTGGCTGACTTGATACCAATGGACATGTATGACTCAGCTGGATCTGGCTGTAGGGTTGCCAAGTCCATTTTAGCCCCCAGCGGGGGACTTTGGGGGCGGGGCGTTCCTGGAGGAGGCGGAGCATCCCTGATGTGATGACCTCACATTGGGGATGTCTGCCTCCCCCCCCCCCCGCCCG